GCTTTGACCTCACTGGCATGTTACCAGAGTCGCACGTCTTCAACCGGAAGGTCAGACCAGCAGCCATTTCCTGTGGAGAACTCAGACGTGCGGCAGATTTGGGTAGAGCGGGAATTTTGCAATCAGTCAAGTCCTTGGGGGACCCTGACCTCGACAGGGATCTGTACGCAGCAACCTTGAAGGAGGTTTCCAAAGGTTTCTTGAAGGAAGTCCCTGACCTGATGACCTTGCCCCAAGGCGCCACCTTAACTAGAAGGTTCGGTGTTAAACAAAAGAATAAGGTACGTCCCATAGATGATTATAAAGCCTCCTTTGTAAATAGCAGTGTATCTCAGACCGAGTCAGCCACAGTGCATACGGTTGATCACATTGCTTCCTTGATCTCTTGCTTCATGAGGGCGTCATGCAACCGTGAGGCGATGCCCACTCTGAATGCCAAGACGTGGGATCTTGCGGACGCTTACAAACAAGTGCCGTTGAGCGACGAAGCTTTTGAGATGGATTCTTACTTGGTGGTTTTCTGTCCGGACACTTCCGGTCCAAAAGTCTTCCAACAGAGTGTGCTCCCCTTTGGATCAGTGGCGTCAGTCACATCATTCCTAAGAATCGCTCACGCCCTGTGGCGATTGGGAACCAAGTTGCTAGGACTCATGTGGTCATCGTACTTCGATGACTTTTTCTCGGTGGAAATCAGTGACTTCTCAAGACACACCGACCTGGTGATAGCTTCTCTCTTTAGCATTTTGGGTTGGAAATTATCAGCTGAAAAACTAGTTGGTTACCACACCATTTGCAAGGTTCTGGGAGTAGAGTTTGACCTGGGAATGTCAGGAGAAGGCCTTTCATGGGTTTACAACACCGGAGACCGGGTAGACGAACTGTGCCATCAATTGGACGGCATCATTCAGTCACTACAGTTTGCCTGCGGTCAGCTCTTTGTCAGATCCGCCAGGAACCATATCAGAATTCTTTCCGACCACATCAAGAGTTGCAGGAGTAAACTTGATGATGACACTCTACATGCCCTAAGACAGATCGACGAGCTGATTCGTGCCAATCGGCCCAGGAAGCTCTTAGGGACCTTGACTGACCATTTTCATGTGTACGTTGATGCATCTTTTGACGATGATGGCTACACCGGCATAGGTGGCGCTTTATACAATAGCTCTGGTCAGGCAATAAAATTCTTCAGTGAGAAAGTAGACCTGAGTTTCATTGAAACAGTGAAACAAGAAAACCAAAAGAACATCATCCAAGAGTTGGAGATGCTTGCTTTGCTGACCGCCATTGAAATTTGGGGTCCCGTGTGGGAAGGCCACAGAGTTGTGGCATTTACAGATAGCGAATCCGTTCGCGGTAGCTTTTTGAAAACTTGGTCCAAAAACTGTCCTTGCAACAAGTTGCTGGCTCGGATTTTCTTCTTGGAAGCATCCCACACATGCCCCTTGTGGCTTGAGCGAGTGCCGAGCCAATCCAACCCTAGCGATGTTCTCTCACGAAGCCAAGTGGCCGTGTGGAAGGGGTTGACGAGGGAACAAGTAGACTTCAGATCCATCTGGAGTCACGCCATCAGTTTCCCGGGGTAAGAGCGCGATGCATGACAGTGAGACCAATTCTCCCCATTGTCAAAAAGAGCGTTTTGCGGCAGCAGTGTTTCGACGTTTCATGTCAGATGAATTTCACAGAGATTGCTGTAAATGAAACCGCTTTTCCGAGTTGTCACCACAGTGAGCGTTTTGATGCTATGTAAGAATTCTCTCATGGAACATGATAGATTTTTACATACTACGAAACGTGAAGAATGTAATGTTTCATTACATGCCTGTGGTGACACTGAACAACATTGGAGATGAGAATGTCAGATGTAAACTGAACTTTAATAGATCTCAAGGATGGTGGTTTTCTTTCAGTGAACATCTTTTCGAATCTTTTGAGTTTACGGTGATGATGTGTCGAATTTTTCATCATGTTGCAATTTTGGATTCAAGCTTCAAGTGAAGCAATGTGGCAAGTGCCACAGAAATGACATGGCAAGTGCCAAGACTCATGTCTTTAATTCATCTCAACACTTGACATGTCAATCAATTCACGAAAGTAAACATGAACAAATTCGAAATCATCAACATCATGTTCACTTTCAAATTTTTCGTCCCACCCATTCTTAACCCATCCCCGAATTCATTGCCAAGTGATGCAATGACTAACATCATCCAAGTGGATCTCATTTCCTTTTCTCTCTCGACTTCGCCATCCAATGGCCGAACCGTCGTTACAAGCTATCTTTCAACAAGTGTTTATCACACAATCATTTCTTCATCAACTGCAGACCGCGGAGGAGTTCATCAGTGATATTTCCGATCACCTTGACGAATTTGAAGTCCCACATGAGGACAACTACATGCAGATCCGCACAGGCATCCGTCAATTGCGTATCCACTTGAACTTCCTCCTGGCCATCCAGTTGCTTGAAGCATGCCGTGCCCTTGAACGCTACATGCAACGGCACGGTCATTTACCCAACATCGACCTCAACTTTCAGTGACATCGATGTCAAACGTTACGTTTCTCCATTCGCATCTTCTGGCACGTGCCTACCCGAAGCCAGAGCGCGATGCATGACAGTGAGACCAATTCTCCCCATTGTCAAAAAGAGCGTTTTGCGGCAGCAGTGTTTCGACGTTTCATGTCAGATGAATTTCACAGAGATTGCTGTAAATGAAACCGCTTTTCCGAGTTGTCACCACAGCGGGCGTTTTGATGCTATGTAAATATATATATAGTTTGTGGTTTTGATCTCCCGTTGCATTGGAAATGATTCCCTTTTACTGGATTTTGGATGGTTTAGGATAGATTTATGATTTGATTTGAAGGTTGGAAGGCCCCCCTCATTCTAACTGAGGGTGTTTTTCACCTCATTCTAAGTGCACGAATCCTTTTTTTTGGAAAACCGGGACTCATTCTAACTTCGACTCCGTCACAATATGCAGAACCGAACATGGCTGTCGAGCTGTGTGGCTCACTATACCAGCTGCAGCCCTCAGGAACGGTTGCGCATGGCTGAGGTGATTGCAGACACCTGCAATCTCAGTGAGGACGAGGAGTCCCCGCAGCATGGCCTTGGAGAAGATGAGAAACATCTTCAGCTGGCGGAATCTGACATGGCTTTCAGAGCCATGATGAGCCTTCTTGAATACGAATACGACAAGTTCGAGGAGGTGACAAAGCTGATTGGGCAACTTGGTGGAGCGCTTCGAAAAGTGAAGCCAGAGAGCTCCGTCTCGGATGAGAGCATGCCAGAGGAAACGCCAGAACAGAGGGCACAGCGCTACATGAGCTGTGGGCAATCAGAGGCTTCAGATCCAGACTTTTGGGCTGATGTTCACTATGGCCCAAGGAGTCATGGAGAAGGAACAGAACTTGATGATGGCACAGGACTTCAGGAATTCTGAGAGACAGCAAGGAAGGAGGCACCACAGAAGAGTGTCGCTTGGTGGGGATGAGACCCATCATGTGGCTCCAGTGCCAGTAGTTTGGAGCAAAACAGTCTTCACCCTTAGAAAAACTCCAAACACGGAGAACTGATGGTCACACAACTGACCTGCGGAGCTAGAGCCTTAGTGGAATCCTAAAATATTTAGGTTCCAAGGCGGGGTGAAAGACACTTCCGCATTTGGATTCATGTACATGTACACATCAGTTGTGTAGCTGTGCAGATGACATTGCACAAATCGAGTAGTGCATTTCAGGTTGTACTCTGAGGCGCTTTCGGTTCCAGAAAAGTTCGCACAAATGGATCAGCGTAGACATTTCCCTTAGTGGAAATTAGAGTGTTTCGAGTCGTTGCATTGGATCAGCTTCCAGGAGGCATTGCAAGTAGCGGCAGTCGAAAATGAACCCCAGCGGGATGGACCCATTTGCGACACTTGAGAACTTTTCAGCAAAAGGTTGCATCGAGGCGGGGTGAACATCATTTCCGCTTGTGTAATTCCAGCTCCAATATCATATGTTCAGTTGTTGCATTGAGTTGTGTTGCATGTGCAACACGCACAAATCAAGAAGTGTTTGTTCAGACGTTTTTGCATCAAAAAAATAATGATGTAATGTATTTAGGGAAAATACTGTCTTGTTCCGCTCTCACAACAAGTTGCAAGTTTTTTGTTAATTTACATGATTAATTTGTGGTGGTCTTGGCTGGATGACAACGTAAATACGAACAATTGTGCCCACAGGGGAATTAATTCCAAATAACAGTTTGGGACTTAGTTTCGTGAATACTAATGTGCTTCCGAATTTTCGCAAGTGAATTCCAATTTGATTAAATCCATTGTTGAAATGGCAGTTTTTTGTCATTAATATCATGCACAATTTGCCGTTTTTTTCTCATAATCGAACCCGTATTGGTTATCAGATCTCAGGGATCGTGCAGCTGCAATCAACCAAACACGATGTCAATTTTTTTGATGCATTTTATTCCGTGCGGACGCGTGCGAATAACAATGCAGTCCAGGGCTCAAGGTAAACGGTTGAAACAATTCCTGGATTTTTGTTTGAGGTTGTCTCTTGTTTTTTTGAATGTTCTGACATGCTGCTGATTTGTTTTTGTTGACATTGGGACGTTTACAAAATCAAAGATATCAGCAACACTGCGCACATAAACTTCACCAACCATGCAAGTGAAAATCGATGAATGTGCTGGGCAAAAGACGTTGGGAGACATGGCACACCGTGACACCCAACCTTTGTGTTTGTCACCGGGTTACGGATTTCCAAAACACAACAACACACCCGCACACACACTGACACACACGCGCGCACAAAGGGAAACATGGGGGGCTTGCAACTTCATTACTTCATTGTGTCAAAATGCGAATGCTTGTGAAACACAATGCAATTTTTTTTGGGACACAAAATGGACCATATCACGGCCAGTTTAAGGTGGAACGGGCGTGCAACACGAAGCTTGTGGATCCAGGGAGTAGTTTGTGTGTCGCAGCGTCGGCATGGCCAAACTACTCTCGCATCATGATAGGTGCGAAGAACAATGGTGCTGGTATTGGTATGTGTCTTTGTGGATCTTCAGATGTTGCCAGGTACCATTCTCATGCTATTTTAGGGCTTTTGGCATTGTTGCATTTTGCCTATCGTCGCTTGCCTGCACAAATGGTGAACACACGAAACTGTCTTGAGTGGTTCATCAAAATTTGAAACCTAGGATTCTACACTGTCTTGATTGAGCAGTGCCGTGGCTGCAATGCTTGTTCCCGGAAACACACTTTTCCCAGTGCCATTCCCATACGGATGTTGTCACAAGTTTTTGCTATTTGTATGTACGTTGTTGTATGTGGAGGCGTGAATCTTTCTCGCCGGGCTTTTGGTCAGCGGCGACTCTTTTGGTCCACGTTTTCCTGCATGTTGCCTGGATAGCATGATAACATGTGCATTTGACATCCGAAACCATACAATGTGTTTACATACGTGGTATGAAAAACATTGTTGTGAATCTCATGCTTTGCAGCCAAGGTTCTCAGTTTCCAATTTGAATTGCCAAGGCCTTGTGATTCTCACGTGAAAATTTCCAATTTGCTCGATTCTTGTTTTGCTTGGAAACAGGAATCGCATTTGGACAAAACCAATGATTTGGAGGCTGGGAAAAGGATTTTGAGAGGTTTTTTTTTTATCAATGCAAAAAAATCTAAACATTGATCTTTGAACTCAGGGAATTCCGGGTGCACAACGCAATTTTCGCCTACCGGCACCTGGAAACTTGCCTGCATGCTTGGCTGACAACCCCAAATTCCAGATGTCTTGAGCACCTGAGGTGGGCACTGCGTTGGGGATTTGGGCTCCAGAATGGTGGTGGCAGCAGCCAACACTATCTTCCTTGTTGGCTAAAGTTGCTGGGTTTTGATTCTCTTGAAACAAACATTATGGATGTTAAAGTGCATAAAGGCTGTTATGATTGCCATCGAATCAACCCTGGCTGAAATTGTCTCTGCGAGGTTGTCTTAGTGCTTGTAGCGTGCAAAGCCGCGGATGTCACCACCGAGATGATTGGTAGCACGGACAGCGTTGTGCAGTCCAGTGGGTTTGCATGGTCGTGCTGTTATTCAACTGTACTGCATGTACTTGCTTTCTAGTTGGGCAGAACGGTGTATTCGTGCAGTTTAAATCTTCTAGTTAAGTGGGGCGAAGCTTGCAGGAAATGAGAACAACCAATGCAATGCGGGATTCTCGGATGTTTTTCTTGATTTCGTTGTTTGTTCGCAGTAGTCTGAGTCTAAAATTAAATAGTATCAGTATGAGGCCTTATCCAAAGTCGACACCACGACCAGTGGAAGAGGCCTTGGACGTTTCGTTTGATCAGATACCGATTAGATGACTATGTAATACTAGTACTATGTTTCTGATCTGAATCAAGTGCAAACCCTGAGATGGCGAAGACATTTTATGCCAAGTCTCAATTTGCAGCAACTTCAATTGCAGCTCCTTGTTTGCACGGCTTTTGTTGCATCGGCATTTGCTGTAGATGTCACAATCTGGAAGGTGGGATTGGAGTGATGTGTGCCAAGGCATTTGGGACGCCTTCATTGTCTTTTTGCTCGGTGTTAGCTATTGAGCTAGCATCTCTTTTGATGACCCTGGTCAGAAAGGGTCTTATTGAGGCCGGGTTGTAGCTGTACTGTGTTGGCCTGCTGAATGAGCGTTCCAATCCGTTTGTTACGTGTACCGTGTATCGACGCCTGCTGACATTGCCTTTTCCAGGCACGAACATATCACATTGTCTATGCCACCTCGCTTCTTGGTCTTGAAATGGGACCTGTTGAGAAATGTTCAGACTCTGACCGTTGAAGAAGATTTGCAGCCCCTGCATGTTTAGTTGCAAGACCGTGCTCAGCTAAGGCTTTTCGTCATGTTTCCATGCATAGTTGCAACTCTCCATAGCGGAGATGCAGCCATGGAGATGGCAGCATTTAGAGGTTTGGTGCTTACAGAAGAAACCATCTTGGCGCCCTGTTAATTCCGTAGTATTCAGACATGAAGCGAGTGTTCAGGGTGTCAGTTTGCCTTTTTTTTTTATGTCTGAGTCTGAATACGGATATTCACCTGGCTGCAGCACTTTTCACTGGCAGGTCTGATGGTGTGTGCTGTGGCTGTGGATCTCCGCCTAAAACATCGCATCGACAAATATGTTGCCTGGGGCCTTTCAATAGTTGGAGGCTGGGAGCTTCACTTTGAAGCTGCGAAGCTGGAAGTCTTATGGTTTCCTTCAAGTGGGAGGTTTCGAGAGTGGGGGTCCAAAAAACATTTGTTTTCCCATCAAAGATACTGTAATCAGTTCTGAGAACGAACTGGATGATTTTAATTTTGGTCCCCCATTGTGGGACTCCCTCAAGTGGTTCTCATGAATGATCCTGAAGTGGCCTGCTTTCCTTGCTGGAAGGACACTTTCTTGCTGAGATTTTGGGCATGGTGGGCTGCTACAAATTATTAATTGCCTGGCCCGGCATGGCGTGGTCGGCAGCTGGCACAGTTCAATGTTCCCTGGCTGGAATTTGCGAATTTATTCAGGCTACCTCAGAAGTCAATGAATCGAGAGACAGTCCCAGGCTTGCTGACAGATGTCCAAAAGAAGGATGACATAGCAGATTGCAACAAGAGAGGCGGGGTTTTGCGGTTGATCAATTTCTTTCACAGGTGTATAAGTAAGCTTTATTCTTGCCCTGGCCCCGAATTACTTGATAAGGCCTATGATTTTGGAAATCCTTTCACCATGTCAAGTCCAAATGCGTTTGCAGCATGAAGATAAACATTGTCATGCATTTTTGTTCAACTTTTTCCTGGAGGAAAGGTTCCAGAAGTTGATTAAGGTTATTGCCAAGGTTACCGCCAAGGTTACCGCAGGACTTAGCGGTGCCCAGGGTGAGGTGTGGCTCCAGGTCTATAGCAGAGCGATAAGGCCCAATTTGCAGAGGTTTGCAATGATTATATCCGGCAGGCAACATTTTTAGCGTTTGTATCCGTTTGTGCATTTGTTCGTGTGAGGTGGTCAAGACGCATCCAATGATGGAACGCGAGACTCACCCGTGCAAGGACATATTTTCTCTTTGTGTTTTCTTTTTTGATTGACCCTTTCATTGTGTTTTGATAAACACACATCGCACAATGAAAGGAGACGAAGAACCGGCAGATGATGCAAAGCGATCTTTTCCTTATGTGTGTCCCATCTCAAAATATTTGGCTGCAGATCTCTGGGCAGCAGAACGCTGATGTATTGCCCATCATTTTGTTTCTTGTTGTTCTGTCAGCTGCTGATGTTTTCTCTTAATGGTTCTGAACGGTTCCGCCCTCTGGAGTGCTGGAAGAGTGATAGTGTTTTTACACTCTTTGACAAGAACACCTCAAGACCAGCAACCTCTCCAGTAACCCAAATTGTAAAACAAAAACCGGTACTTCAGATTCATTGCACTGGTGCCGAGGACTCCCAGCCTCGGGTGAACAGCTGCTGGTGATAAATTGACCAGTCTTCCCCGTTCACACGCGGCTGAGTACGCGATGAACTCTTTGTGACTCTTTGTGCAGGTTGTTTTAGGAGTACAGCCACCAGCTTGTGGTTGCGGTCTATAGCCTGACCCCAGGTAAGGAGTATGCTGCCAATCCCGTTTAAGACACCTATATAATCTCAGCCTTGAAATGGCGAAGCCCAACTTCAGGCCAAAGACCGTAGTTGAAATGAACAAAAAATACGGAAATTGGTGCGCAGCCTCTTTAGGTCCGACATCTCTGGAGTCTGTAGCCTGATTGTCACCCAGAAAGCTGCCCGAAGGGATCGACACTGACCAACCAGCACACCACTCATCCTGCGTTGCTTTGGCTCACGGATGACTATGGATGTGGGAGGGTGGATGCACAACTGCCTCGTTGTCTAGTTAAGCTACAAAGTACACTTCCTCGTCTTCCCAGGAGCCGGCTGGGGGCTTGGCATTTCGATTGTTGAATGTTTTGAAGGTTCAACATGGCAATGGCTGACACTCGTCATTGTTGAAATCTTACAGCTGCAAGACTGAAGCTTGTACCATTGGCAAATAATTCCCAGGTCTCACCCGTTATTTTCCTCAAAGCTCCCTATCCGTTCCAGTAAAGAAGGCCTTGGCTCTTGGGTCAGGACTGCAGCGTGCAACTTCATGGCCAAGAAAAAGGCGGGAACCTTTTTTGGAAGAGTATGGAAGAGTCAACAAGAGCTTGCAAAATCACAGAGTTATTGAGAGTTACTATCCCGTGCCTTGTTGAAGTAGGCTATGCATGATAGCCTTGTCAATTTATCGAAGCTTTAAAATCGGCCATGACAATGACAATGGTCAAAAGCAGCTGCATCTTTGCGAGGAACCAAGATCAGCGAAGGTGGGTCTCTTGATATGTCCGAGTTGTGTAGAGGTTTTTCCACTTAGAGATTGAGAACGATCGAAGCATATCAAAACTAATTCGTTCTACATATGAGCAGTTTATTTTAATGCTGTGCCAAGCTGTGCCAAACTGTGCAGGATCAGGTGCTTCAGTGGCTTTCGGTGCTCTCTGGAGTCGTCTCGCTGGTTTGCCTCATCCCCAAGATCCCGTGGAGACCTAAGAGCAACGGAGCAACGACATTTGCCAATTTCAACTTCCGGATTTGTCCCAAAGAGGTTACAACATGTTACAACATGTTACAACTAAATCCAAGGGTTTGTGGTGGTCTATCAGTCTATCAGATGATTTATCATCAATTTCCCTGTCAGGATGTCCGTAAATTGATTGCGGCATCTTCCCCACTTTTGGACAACCCCAGTTTTTTTTGTGAACTTTTGCACTGGAACAAGGTACAGGTATGCCCAAACCTTCACTGGCTATCACCAAAGGTTGGGGACTTGACTTTCTGTGGCCAGAACATTTGAAGTGTGGCTCGTAAAGTGTGGCTTGTGGCCTCTGGCAGGTTTCCAATGGTAAGGACTTATTCCCTTTTTGGGGCCAGCAACAAGATGGGGCAGATGGCAAAGTTCTCAGCGACCACATCCACAGGGGGGAGGGATACATAGACATATACACATACATATACATACTGTATACATTTGCACATACACATACTACATACGTATATACACACACACACTACTTACTTACATGTATACATATATATTTATATAGTTATATCTAACTTACTTAGACATATTATATTAATATATATATATATTTATTTACACATCAGGTGCAAATGTGGTGAATTTTGTGCTGAATTCAGGTGCAAACGTTTCTATGCTTCTGGAACCAAATCTCCGTACTGCAGTTGCTGCTTTCGGGCTTCATCTTGCGTCCTAGGTCTCCTGGTTCAAATGGCAAAAGGAGACTTGCAGAATGAGGGACGTGAGCTCCCCAGGGCTGAAGCATCGAAGGAGTCTTGTGGAAAGGACTGGGGACTTCGGGGGCTTCCATTGCGAATCGTAAGGAGTTTGCAAAGTCGAATCCCCTACTGGTGCGGCACCTATCAACTCTGCGAGCTGGTGCAGCTAAATCACAGATTCTGAACCGTTGACCGTTGAGCTGTGGGTCAAAGCATTGTACCCGTTTGAACATCAACAAAATGAATCAAACGGTCAATTTTGGGCTGCTTTCAGCTTTCAGGCGGCGGCAGGAGGTATTGCTGCTGCCAAATCTGGTGTGGGCGGAGCAGCTGCGGGATGTATGTTCTGGGACACATGCAAGGTGGGACAACATGCGCTGCTGGATAGTTTATTTCACAGAAATCCTATCAAAATAGATGAGAACTGGGGGTATCCCCATTTTAGGAAACCTCCATGTGAGTGCATGGCAAGAGCAAGACAGGGCAACATGTGGGTCAAATGCTGCATCGAAGAAGATGTTGTTGAAGGAACCACACAAGAGTCACTATGGACTTCACTATGGACACAAGATGACATCAGGGTGTTTTGTCCTAGTTGTAGCTTGACAAGTGGCAACTGCTGCAGTCACAGCTGACGGTTCGGTGCACCGAATATGCGACGATGGCTGTAATGAGTGTTCATCTCAGCACGTGGAAGTTCGATGACGAAGCTGCTTGAGATGCCTAGCTGAGGCATTATATCCATGCTGCTCCAGCTGATAGGAGGTTTCCTTGTGTGATTTCAGTGGCACTTGGAGCATGTTGCAGCACAACGATTTTCACCTGGCATTTCAGAATATCTACATATATATTTATCAAAGGGAGTTTAGAAGTCAAACTTCCGACAATATGGACAGATGAAAAGCAGAGATGGGAAGAGTCAGAGAGAAGAGAAGAGTAGAAGAGAGAAGATCAGAGAAGAGAAAGAGTCAGAAGAAAGAAGATGCAGGTGCGCGAAAAGGTAGGACAGTCGCGAAACACTGTGTTTTTCCAATGATTTGTGGCTCCGGAGGGTCGAAAAGTAGGCTCGCTAAAGCGGCGGGTGCGGAGCCATCTGGCTAGATGAGAGATGAAAAATTGCACGCCGTTGTGGCGCGAAGCACATTTCGAAGTCAACATGTACAAAGCACACCAGCTCCGGACCACTTTTGGAAGTTGCGATGTCGAAAAAGTGCACGCCGTTGTGGTGCAAAGCACATTTCCAAGTCAAAATGTTAAAAGCACTAGGGGTTCGGACCACTTTTGGAAGTTGAGATGTTGAAAAATTGCACGCCGCTGTGGCGCGAAGCACGTTTCGAATCAAAAGTGCAAAAATCTGAGGGGCACGGAGCATTTTTGGACGTTCAGATGTGCTTTCGCGTGGCAGGCGCAAAGGATTGTGCCTTGTCAAACGTGAGCAAAACGTGAGGGTTTTGTAGCATTTCCAAAAACGATGGCAGGCGTGGGGCATTTGAAGAGGATCTTCAAAGATGCATTTCGCGTGGCACGCGCAGTACAAAAGACATGTTCATCAGAGATGTTAGGAGGTCAGGGCGCTGATTTCCTGAGAGAGGTTGCATTTTGGAGCATCAGATCTGTAGGTTTGCTAAGATGATTTTGCGTGACAGGTGTAGCACTTCGTATGACCTGTCCTCAATTTTTCCTGACAGGCGCAGTACTTTAGACAGGTGGAGTGGAAAAATCGCAAAACGCATTCGTACGAGGCCGTCAGCGCTGCACTCAACTTTCGATTTTTGAAGGAAGTCTCGCAGAATTGCTTTGTTTTTGATGTTGTCAAATTCAAAAATTGAAGAAGTCTCGCAGTAGTTACTTCGTTTTGGATGCTGCTCAGTTCAAAAAATGAAAATGTCTCGCGCAATTGCTGCATTTTTGATGTTGTCAACTTCGAAAAATGAGAAAGTCTCCCAGAATTGCTTGGTTTTCAAGCTGGCAGATAGACAGGTAGATAGACAGACAGACAGAGAGATAGATAGACAGATAGGTAGATGGGTAGATTGCTAGATACACAGTTAGATAGACAGATGAGATAGATAGACAGCTAGATAGATAGATGGGTAGATAGATAGATAAATGGATGGATAGACAGATAGATAGCTATACAAAGAGATAGATCGATAGATAGAGATATAGATATAGATAGATAGATAGATAGATAGATACATAGATCCATGGATAGATAGATAGATAGATGGATGGATGGATGGATGGATGGATAGATAGATAGATAGAGATACAGATAGATAGATAGATAGAGATACAGATAGATAGATAGATAGATAGGTAGATGGATAGATAGATTGATCCATGGATCGATCGATAGATAGATAGACAGATAGACAGATAGACAGATAGACAGATAGACAGATAGACAGATAGATAGATAGATAGATAGATCCATGGATCGATCGATAGATAGATAGATAGATCGATAGATCGATAGATCGGTAGGTACGTAGATAATCGGAGAAAGAGAGAAAAAGAGGAGACATCAATCACCTTTCGATCCATGAGTGGCTTCGCTCTGCCATTTGTGATTCACAACAACCAACCTCTCCTACAGGTTTCCTATTTTTGAAACTTCCGCCACCGCCTTGTGCGGTACTACTGGCACATTGTAGATAATAAATCTATATAATTTTACACCATTAATTTATACACTCATATTTCTTCACGTGAGAGAACGTGCCAGCTGGTTCTGCACTTTGCGTGCCCATGATGCTGAATGCCGAGAGCGATGCTGGAAAGGACAAGAAGGCCTGAAAGAGACTTGCAACAAGTGTCAGTTCTAGCTTGATTCCTGATTTCTTGTCTATAGTTTCTTGATCCTTCAGGGCTCCAAGAAGGAAAAGGCGAAGAAGGCTGCCATTGGAGCAACCATGGGTTGTGCTGTTGCAGGAGGTTTGTCAGATGCTCAAGTATATAGCACAATATGGTTTCACGGAGAAAACACTTTTGATTGTGAGCTGCCAATCTCCTATGGCATACAACAGACAAGACTAGCACAACATTGAGGCTGCCGTTCCTCTCGTGGGCAATTTACATGGGGCTGGAGACTTGGGTAAGTGAGAGGTCGTCTCAGTGTCTCTGTCTTGACTTAGAAGACTTAGTCCCAAGGTCTTCCGGGGCGATGATGTCCAATTTGAAGACAAAGGAGCAGCAACCTTGGGACAAAATTACATCACACCACCAACAGGTCATGTTTTGGTATTCGCTGCACAAAACAAGTTTCCTATCGCTGTGATTCACCATGGCCCAAGGGCCTACGCCTATGGCTATGCGTACGTTGGCTCCTTCCTCGCTGTCTCTGGTTGGCTGCTGGGCTTGATTGGCAGCAGCCTCAGCAGCAGCATTTGACGAAGCAAGGACAGGACAGCTGCGACTTGGCAGGTGCTTTCATTGGCCTTCGGCGCTTCCAAACTTTTGGAAAGGCGCGCAATGCGACTTTTCCAAAGTTCTAAGGGATTTCGGTAGTATTTTGGTCTGGTGGGTTCATTGAAAACATTTTTGCAGGAGAAGGAGAAGGATGATGACGATGACGCTGCGGCGAACGCGAACATGCCCACGGACATGTCCCGGTCTTGAGACTGGTCCAGCACAAGAAGTGTTTTTTTGATGGGTGCAGTGGGTGCAGCTATCAGAGTGAGGCCACCCATGGCTGATGTTCCTGGAATGTCGGGACCTTTGCAATCGGCTGGTCATTTTGGTCATTTTGGTCATTTTTGGTTATGGAGAAACAGAGTGAACAACTGGCTGGTGAGAACTGGGGCAGCTTGAGGCCCTCGGCCGCTCCACCAGCCATGCTGCAACCTTGGATCAAACTGCAGTGCAAAATGGTGGCAGAAGGGTGCCATGATTTTTTTTTAAGGCATTCTATTACATCCTACTACTATCCATTTGTAACAAAGAAACTAAGAAACTAAGTGACTCAGCAAATTTCGACAAGTGACACTGCTTGTAACTGCTGTTGTGAGGCCTTCCTAAGCCCAAAGTGGCCCCGAGGTGGAGGAATCTTCCCGCTGTTTTCCATGCTTGGGGAAGATCCGTTCGGTAAACAAAGTGGTTTACCGTGTGCAAAGCATGTGATGACCAGTGAAGACATTTTGCGCCATCGTCACTAAAATGGACAAATGAGATGAAGGGGGAACAGGCCGGGAACAGGTGTGTGGAAGACACTCCAGACACTTTTTAACGGCCATGGGAAGCATTTCCTGTTTCATGTAGGATATTTTTGTATACAAGACATTTGTGTCTGAATTGTTGGATTACAGTCTTGAGAGACTTCGCCAGTCATCCTTATAGGTAGGATACTATTGTCACACTCTGGTATCACAGTGCTGAAATTTGTCATTGTTCACTTTTGCAGGGCACTCTTTGAAGACTTTTGTGGCACACTTTTGCGCGACATTACACGACGCTCTTGTGCAGCACCCTTGTCAATTTGTTTGATGTGACAACCTTGCGGTAGCATTCCGTGAGACACTTTGGGACGCAGTTGTTGCCACAATGCCGCCAAACCGTTTGCAGAGAAAACGCAGCTTAACGTCACGAGGAGGTTTAGTTTCCTATCAAACCAGCATCCGCCAAATCAGATAGCATGAAACTAAATATTTTCTATTCGACTCGGCGAACAAAGAATAAATCGTCAGCGAAACGGCTTGCATGTTCGACAACCAAGCGCCACTTGTGCACGTAGCTCCTTGCAAAATTGAATCGAATATCCGTGGGCTGAGCACACGCTTTGTTGCCGGCCAGCGCAAACTGAAAATGGTCGGCTAATGTCGGCTACTTCCATTGTCTCCTTGTATTTTCGAAGCGCAACCAAAATTAAATTTGCGGTCACTACTAGGTGTTCTTCGCTGGGGTGGCCGCAGCGAAACCCATGCTATTCTTCAGGCTGGTTTGATTCAAAGAACAAATGGATATGGGACAAAATAATGTATGAACAGTATATGAACAGTATGAACATGTTGTGTACAACACTCTGAGGGTTGGAATTGAGAAATCCGACAATGATGGCATGGTAAATAGAGCTTTCTGCCAAGTCTAGGGCACAGCACCCGCAAGCAAAACCTCCTTCAACAGCGCCAACGTTGACAATCCAAGACATCCAACGGAACTGCGACCAAACTGGCTTTGGGACAATTGGGGAAACCATGGGAATAAGTTTGGAAAAACATGGATAAAAAACTGTGAGGGGTGGTAGACAAAACTGGGAATGATCTGGGAAAAATGTGGGAATGATCTGGGAAGGATCCAAGAGTGAAATATGGGAAATATTTGGGGAAAACAATGGGAACAAGCTGAAGTATGGGAATGGCTGGAGGAACGTAAGAGCACTTGTTAAACAAGCAAACACGTGGTCTAAATGTCTTGCCATGGGATTGCATGTCATATTTTGACCATGTAGGCGGCATCGGCGATTTTCAGGGGATTTGAAGGGGAAGAACCTGGGACACAGCAAGGATTTTGAAAGGAGTTGTTTGGGAAGGGAGTACTGTGTCAAATTTGGCTGCCTCACTTGAAGCAGTCCCTCATCAGAGCAGCCTAGGTAGTGACCAAATGAATTCAGGTCCACTGGCAACAACTTGGTATTACGTTCTTGGTGCTACGCTACTAACTTGTTCTTACAACTCCCCATTGCGTTTTTACTGCCCAACTTGTTCCTACAACTTCCAATTACGTTCTTAATGCTATGCTATTAACTTAGCCCGACAATTGCCAAATACGTTTCTTACGTTGTTTGGCAACAACTTGCCACTACATTCTGATGCTGCGCTATTGACTTGCTCATAAAAAACCTCCAACTATGTTCCCAATGCTACGCTACCAATTCACCTGAACACCCTTCACGTGCGCTTTCAACATCCCCTGGCAGCAACTTCACGTCATTCTCTTGCTAGGAGGATATCCAATGGGACGTGAAAGCAAAGGGCCCACAACAAGAGACACTTCACCAGACCACTATTTTCACGGACGTGAAGCGAGCAAATGTCATAGAGGAACCCTCGATGCTGCATCATCTGCTTGAAACAACTAGCTAAATTCCGCATATTTTTTCCTCAGCGCCACGATTTGTTGCTCCATGATAACTGTTGGCACGTGGACTTCGATGGCAATTCCAGAAAAATGTAAACACCTTGAAGTTTTTCACTTTCCGCTTGTGTGCCCTGCGGTTGGTTGCTCATTTGAGGCACAGGGTGTTCTTAGGTGAAACACTGGCAACCAAGACCCTAGCTCAAGAATTGACAAAAACATACAAACACGACAAACTTCTCTGCATCCAAACGTCTGTGGCCGCATGAAAATCTTCCACTTTTCATACCCTTTGAATCGCTAGAAATTTTCCAATTCTTTGTCCCACATATTGAAAGGTCTTCTGTGTTTTCTCCTTGTCACGCCCCATGTTAGTACTTGTTTCACCCAACGATTTCCATCAAGCAAAGCAATGTCATTTCCAAATTTCCAACATTCCAAAAAACATTGCTCCGACCAAATTTTGACACTATAAAGAGACTATAAAGCGCCATCTGTTCTCGCACGTGCTCATTCCAGCAGGCGCCCCCACAACCGAAACAGTTTCCGGCAAATCACATCCATGCATTGTAAACCACGTTCGTAAAATTTGCGGTGCGCAGCTGCAAAACAGGCCACCGCGCTCACAACCGAATCAAAATAACCAAGCTTGAGCGCTAAGGAAACATGTTTGTTGCTCAAAAACGATTTGTTTGCGAAAAATGCCATTGAAACAGCTTGCACTCGATGTTCCATATTTTCAACATGACTCGCACTTCATCTAAACATATGCATTTGCTGTGCAGCTGATTAGGCCGATGACAATGAACAAAGCCTATGGTAAAGAATGAGTTCCACCAAAATTTAGACCCCATTTGGCAGCTCAAACTAAGAGAATATTACACTCTTGCGAGCGGGGTTTCCAGTCCGGCGGCTCAAACACCCACAAACATAAACATTCGTCTACACCCAAGACAAACTGATTGAGGCGAAACACAAACAGAAAAAATACGTGATACCGTGATACCTCAAAACAAGATCTGTGAAACATCCGTGAAAGACCCGTGAAACATCGATGAACAATATGGATAACATAAATAAAACATCAGTTACGCAGGACTAAACCCTAAGTAACCCACAAGGGAAACAAATGGAATTTATTTTCTTCGAGTGATCCCCACCTTGAAACACTATTCTGACATAGTTTCTGACATATCATCTGGAAGTGTATATGGTATATTTATTTTGACATTTTATTTGACATTTTTTCTGGCATACATCATGACATTCTTTCTGAAATTCAATCTATTTGGCATCTATTCAAACATACTTTCTTGCATATCTTCTGACATTCTTTCTGGCATTCTATCTGATATATTCGGAAATTCTGTGCGGTCGAGGTCGGCGGGGATCACTTTGATCCAGCGGTTACTGTTCGGGTCCGGCGGGGACCACTGTGCTCACGAGTTTTTAGTTGAGGTCCGGTGGGGAACATTCTTGATCCCGCTTGCAAGTGAGGTCCGGCGGGGAACTGGTCGGGTCCGGCAGGGACTGCTGCGATCACGAGCTTGCAAATGAGGTCCGGTGCCGCTGGTCTGGCTTTCTGCTGAGGTGCGGTATAATTGCAGCATTCCTCCTGGACCAAAACTTGTCCACCCACAGCAATGTTGATGGCAACACGCCACCCGTCAGCCAACTCCTCGCGGAAATCCCGCCATCACCCCCCGGCAACAGCCGCCTACCCCCATCCTAATTGTGGACTTTGGATTGAGCACATCAAGCGACTGGCCAGTATAAAAACAGTCAGCCGACCCAAAAACACAGTAAGGGGGACTCATTGGACCTCGCGCAGAAAAATTGTGTCTGGAAAAAAAATCACAACATCATGAAATAGGCGTCACTGTTCCTGCCACGCTCGGATCTCGTTGAGCTTGTTCTCGGCCATCATCCACCGTCACAGGGGTGTCGAGCTGTCGAGTTTCTTTCTTTTCCACTTTCGTCATTCAGGGGATCCATTTCGGTAATGTACAAACACCGTCGAGTCTCCCGACCTGGTTTGACATACCATGCTAGTCCTTGACCTAGAGCCTCATGGAAATATTTTTCACCTGACCAAGTACTTCAGGGCTGTCCTGAACACGACATTGTCTTTTCGATCCTAGTCATCCACATAGCACACATGGCGATGTCGCTTTGTACTTGTTTGCGCATCAAGATCATCTGGTTTCATGCCTGTTGCCACCGGCTGCGAAGCAAAGTCAGGGTTTTCAAACTTTGCGGGCTCAATTTTTTTTTGGTGTTCCCAAATCAGCCACATTCAGCAAAATTGCCACCGCTCCCATTTCCAGCAAACTGTGTTGGATGGCTTTTAGCATCTTCAAAAACGGGGTTACGGCACCTGTAGAAGTGCGGCGCTTTCAGCGTCTTGAAAGTGGACAACGTTTGTAACTCATTTTTGTTACTGTCGACCAAGCTTGCGCACCATCCGCAAAGACTGTCGCATTCGGGAACGTTGTGCAAGTTATTTGACGAAGATGTTACAACGTATCAATAATTTTTTGCAAATTATTTGACATGATGTTACAACGTGTACGGAACATGTCGAAACTTACGTGAAGAAAATGTTACTACGCATCAACAACGTCTTGAAAATGACCTGAAGAAGGGGATGCAACGTATCAGGAACGTTTTTGTAAGTTATTTGAGGAACATACAATATATCAAGAACGTCCTGCAAGGTATTCCACGAAGTCGTTACAACGTATCAGAAACGTTTTTAAAGTTGTTTGAACAAATTTGTTGCAACGCACCAGAAACGTTTTGCAAGTTACGTGACGAAAATGTTACAACGTATCAAGAATGTCTCGGAATATACTTGCAGAAACTGTTACAACGTATCACTTGAACAAGACGTTATAACATATCAGGAACGTCTAGCAAGTTACGTACGGAAGATGTTTTTTAACGTA